ACAAACCGTATTTAAAGGAAAGTTGTTGGTATTGGCTGGACAAGTCCGAGATGTAGAAGAATTAAGAACAAAACAAGGGCAGAGTTCAATAATTCACGCTCTCATCATAAGGCAAACATCTGTGCACAACAACTACTGTGACTCATTTTTGTACTACCACGTTGTATAGTTTAGTTATTTCCAAATTGTAAACGGCTATTAAAACAGCCCTATCGAATTACAGTCCACTCTTTTATTTAAGTTCCCAGTAGGACCCTTTTCATGCGATTAATTAATGATATTAAAATGTATTATGTAGAATCGCTTTGCCATTGACTGATACATCTGATGACAGAGCTAACATTATTTCTACTTTTGACCACCATGAGCGCTGCGATAGATTATGTCCCCCCCACCTAGTACTTCGCACCCAGCGAATAGCGTCAGGAAGGAAAACCCGACTTATTTTTATATAGTAGATTACAGCTAAGTAACAATAGTGATAGAGTTTTTTGCGTTGCTTCTTCTGAGCATTGGCCCATTTATTGTCCCGAAGCAGAACTTATTACACCTTCATACTGGGGCGTGTAAAAGTGCTTTATAAAAGCCTAATGCAAAAATAAAATGCGTTTTTTTTACATGACAGTCAGTCCATTTTGGGCACAAATCACTTCTAGACACTTCACACTGTCTAGACTAGACAGTGTCATTTATAAAAATATTAAGTAGAGTCGAAAGCATCTCAGACTATACATTTTCGTTCGAAAATAACGCCTATTCTAATTGAATAAGAGACCTTAATGTTTATCTTGATGAGCTACTCGTACCTACTTACATACTTGCGTGTTCCAAACCCGTTGTTAGTTTAATAATGAATTCCACACACGTGCGCGTACGCATCACGGCCGGACTACTGCGTTTGAGTGCCCCATTGATCGTATTTTGTATGTGGTAATCTTTTAGATAGTTTCAATAGCAGTTCAAGACAAATTGTAGAGAATACTTTAATGTAGATATTATGGACGTGTTCCAATGTTTTATTATAAAGGATCGCGATATAGCCAAGAAGAAAAGAAGTTCGCTGGGTTTTTAAATAGTTAGATCTTTGCTTTATTGGGACAAGGTCGACTTTTTACCCACTTTCTTCGTCTTTTCGGGAGAAGATGCTGAATAGCGAACGAACTTTCTGCTGAAATTCAGAGTCGAGATATCATATCAAGAAGTTCCGGTTAAATAGGAGTGGGCGCCCTTTCGGCACACATTTTTAGTGTTTAATTTTTAGTTTATTTGTAATACATGCTATTTCGCAATCACATATTATAATCTGATGTGCTGTGCCTAAGATACAGTTAACTGAAAAAATACCAAGTTTTTGTTTAGTGTAATCTTATCAAGTAGGGTCTTAAAACCAGCTCTTCAATCTCTGCTTCTTTACAGCACTGGCTCATTTCTTGTCCCGAAGCAGTGGTAGGGTTAATACTGGGACGTGTAAAAGTGCTTTTTAAAAGCCTACTTGCAAAAATAAAATTAGTTTTATGAGTTTTCTGTAGGCACAGAATCTAAGGGTTCCTGAGAATAGCTTCGAAGCAATAAATGTTTCAATTTCCTCCCAGCCCCCAGCGGAACTCGCGAGGAGGGCCTCGAGGAGTGATGCAGACGATATGGTAACACAATTACCTCCCGAAGGATGGGGTGGGGAGATTACCCGGTGTGAGATTATGCCAAGATTGAGAAAATGTGTTTTGGTATTTAGCTACCTCTTTAGGTAGCCTTTAGGTAGACAAGTACCGCCTACATTATTGTTTGTATACCTTCGTAGCTTTCTTTGAAGGCAAAAGTAAGCTTCACAGAGCATATTAAAGAGGGTAGATATTGTGGTACAGGTAAAAAGAACCCTCTCTGTGTAGCTAAAACTATTAAAATTAGGTAAATGCAATATAAACTTTTTCAAAGTCACCTTTGCTTTTTGAGGGAGATAGGGGAAGATATTACAAGCTGTACGCTACAGTCAGCAGTATGGTCAGCAGTTATCGTCGTTACATAGTCATCTATTGTCAACATCGTGGTCTTCTTGCAACTCTTGCGCTATTGTACTAGACGTTAGACGTCACAAGGTCTTATCTGGAGTGTCAAATGGAGCAAAAGCTCCAAGTCAAAAATAATTTTGTCCATACGACGTCTGCATTTGGTACCAGTACCCTGCAACTTGATAATATTGTGACAGTTACTGACAAGTTAAAGTTCCAAAATACTGGACTGTCCTATCGATGACATTGACAGTGGGGCGCCACCGTCAATACCGGATCGCTGGTTCCGATTTTTGCCATGTTGGAAACCATATAGTTGAACGATGGTAGCGCCCCCCTGTCATTGAGTTTGGTGGGACAGTTCAGCGTGGGTCATCTATACTAGGGAATGTTTTCATAGACTAATCAACTGTCAGTTAAATCACCTGTCAAATATCTAAACCAAACATTTATCAATCGTGGGTGCGGTCTGCCCGTATTTATTTATTTTTAATATAAATGTTTAAACTATAAACAAGGGTTGCTGTTATCATTGATGTGATGTACTAGCGAAGACTTGAAGACAAGTGTTCCCATACATAAACACAGTCTTAATCAAAATAAGTTGCAGCGGTGGGAACGAGAGGTGGGAATAGTCCCGTTATAGAAAACTGCATACTATGCGAGCAAATTCAAACTAAATTATCTTAGCTCTAGGTCTACAACCATCAGTCTGTCGTTTTAAAATATCAAGTGAAATATTATAATTATGTGGGACGTTGACAGCTATGCAATCTAACCTACACTTAGCTTAGTTCTAAAATCTGCAACCCACAGTAGGCAGACGTTTTATCAAGAGAAATATTATTATGTGACGTAAAGACGTACCTATATGGCTGCATCTACTAAGTACCTACGTAATATTCAGTGAACATCAAAGGAATGTAAACATGAAACAGAATTTAATTTTTCTTTAATAAAATAAAATGCTTGTAGTAATGAGATAACATTAAAAATACGCATTGAGGGCACTTGTATTCTTCCCACTCGTAGTGAAGAGATTGCTAATGATATTATTATGTTACTAACGGCCGCCCGCGACTTCGTACGCGTGGATCCCGTTTTACCCTCTTTATCTATCTTACGCGGTTTAGATTTTTTCATACAAAATGTTTTTTCCCGCTAACTCCCGTTCCCGTGGGATTTTTGCAATATCCTGTTGTAACTAAGCTTTAAGTTTACTAACGTACCTGCATGCCAAATTTCAAGCGTCTAACTTAAGCGGTTTAGATTTTTCATACAAAAGGATTTTCCCGCTAATTCCCGTTCCCATGGGAATTCCTAAGTATACTATAACCTGCCCAGGAGTATGAAGAATAATTGTACCAAGTTTCGTTAAAATCCGTCGAGTAGTTTTTGTTTCTATAAGGAACATACAGACAGACAGACAAAAATTTTACTAATTGCATTTTTGGCATCAGTATCGATCACTAATCATCCCCTGATAGTTATCGTATTTTGAAAATATATTTCATGTACAGAAATGACCTCTCTACAGATTTATTATAAGTATAGATTTGAAGATATTTATGGGTATAAAAAGCCTTACAACGGTCTGACTCAATAAAGGCTTTTAATTTCAAATCGTTTTAATAATAAATAAGCAAATTCGAAGAGGGAATAATCACAATCTACTTTGTGGCGTAATGGATAAATCGCGTAGGCATCTAAAAGCAATTTGACAAATATTGTCTCATATTTAATTAAAGTTAAGCTACCCTACACCGAATGTTTGAAAGAATCGTTTGAGAAATATATTTTTTCGTTTTTAACAATTAAATCTAATTAAATGCGGGAACGCTACACCTATCATTAATCAAACCGAGATTCATTTCATAAGACATCTTCTTTTCTTCTTCTCGAAATTGCAAGTAGAATGTGTTTTTAATAATAAATGGAAGAAAATGTAATAAGAACAAGTTTTTGGCCAATAAATGGACCTCTTCATTTTTCTGTTAAGGTTTTGAAGAATTAAAACACAATCGTAGTTTATTACTACGTTATATGATGATAGAATACAAGTAAGTATACATAAATGGTTTCCAGTAAATAGAGTTGTACACTACAGACACCCCTGTCTGGGGACCCTGTTTGGGACATAGAGTAAATTCATTTTTTCGGATTACTTCATGTTTGGTTGGACATTGCAGGCTTGATTCTTTAATATGATTCAGAGCTTTACAAAGTATCGGCGATCTTCAAGATTCAGCCATGTCAGATTGTGTTGTGAGCCCGGTTGTTACACACCCACATGTTAGAAACTAATATAGTAAAGTAAACAACTCAGAAAAGGGTCCTCTACATTATTATACGCCCACATGGTTCATATTTTCCATCAATTAGATGGAAAAACACTGAAAGTAAAAAGAGTAAGTTTTTATTTCATATCTTTACGTTTCTTACGATTTGTAATGAGCTAAGACGTGCTCTATGGACAATTGTTGCTCTAGAATCTTTTGAAATATCACCAAGGAATACTATTTTAGAAATAATACACATTGTTGCCTGTTTTTAAACTACGTATTCGGTTGACAATGAAAATGAGTCAGGCTGTTAACAAATTACAATACGAGATTTTACCGTGAAATCATTGTACGAAAGATTTGTTTCACAAGAACGCTAATCTAATGTTACAAATTAACATTTTGTAACTTAAAGATTTACGATTCCTTGACTTTAGTGATGGTTATTTACAAATACATATTCTTTTATTGTTACATCAATCTTCGTTAGACGTTCAACGTCTCTGTTTAAATCGTTCGGATGACGGTTCTTACGGATCCATGGCGGGTGTGAGCCATGATTGACACCCATGAGCTCGCACTTCTCCGTGCCAGCGTATTGATTTATCCAGACCATATCATGCGCTCGTCTCTTCTCCTACTACAACTAGTTTGTTTTCATCCATTTAGCTAAGCGTTGTAGGTTGACCTTCACGCCATATACGATACTCACTCCTCAGATTGTTGTGATATATTGTCCTTGTCTTTGTGTGCTTGCCCGGAGCTGCAAGAGTTGCCCATGGCGGCCGAGGCTCCGGCCCGAGCTGTGATCACGGCATGCGTTATTCACAATGGCACACGCACTCGCGACGCGGGGTATACGCCCAGAAACTCATGCCGCGCGTCCGGGGCCAGCGGTGGCGGCGTGCGATCGCCTCGGAGTCGCGCCGCCAAATAATCGATGGCCGCTTCGCCCGCCCCTCCCCTCGACTCGCGCGCGCGCTGTCAACATTTTTCTTTTTTACGGAGCTTTTCCGAGCGGCCAGTGACGTAAGGCGGGAAGTTTTCATATCGGTGCACAGATAACGAAAGTGCGAGTCTGTGAAGCGATTCGTAATTCGTTTGATCATCTGTGACGGTTTTGTAGACGTAATTTTATTTTTTGTTGTGGAAATAAAAGTTTATCAATGTCAATCGATGAGACTTTGTTTCCATAAGTCGGCTGTTTCTTGAACTTTACTTTTAATCTAGTACTTAACTACTATTAGAAACTCACAAACAACCAACTTAATCTAAAAGATGAATCATTTTGCTCGTCACAAATTAGCTAAACACAATATACACATAGGGGAAGGGGGGGCATGATGGGGTAGCTAAGCGAAATAATAAAAATACAGCTTAATCAATATATTTATTGGCCTCATTAATTTATGGCACGTTATGTCATTAATCTAACTATGATTTGGTACAGGCTTTGGAGAATCAACCTATCACAATTTTTAATAATTAATATTTAATAGGAACATTATGAAAAACCATCTTGCCCCATACTATGGGGTATGATGGGGTAACGGAATTGGGGCATGATGTGACAAGCTAGTCCTCACAAAACAAACAAATATGTATTTCTTCCGGATCTTCATCGTCCACGCCAGCACAAGCGTTGTGACACGTTGTGACTTGTGATCCCAACGTCCACAGAGCTGGCAGCCTACCCAGGGTTCTGATGATGTCAAAAAATTGTTGTTTACATCATTGCAATATAAGCATATGGCATCTTCATAGTTGATCTTGTGTTGTTTGGCTGAGGGTTTGGTCTTTTCTTTGTTTTTATGATTCTTTTTAAGGCGAGGATTATACCCCATCATACCCCACACCCAATACCCCATCTTGCCTCATAAGGTCGCTCTGAACAAAAAAATAAAAAACTAATAAAATGTTTGATGGGTTCCTGCAAACAACACACTATATCAAAATAAACAACATTAGTAACCGAAGATCAAAAACACATAAATGGGGTGATCATAATTACCTTAAAATGTTGACGTTTAACCTACCAAAAATTAGATCGACTAAACACTAAAACAGTTTTTCATTTGTGGTCACAAGACGCATGCACTCCAGCTCACAGTTTCTCTCGCACTAACCGTCGGTTGAATGAGGCTTCCTATTGGCTTATTGTTTTACATTCACAAACGTCTACTTTCTTCTATGTGTGCGGTACCCCGTCTTACCTCGCTACCCCGTCATGCCCCCCCTTCCCCTACATTACTACACCTAAATAAAACCCAACAATAAATAAATTAAAGCTCTACACAACTTTTGAAATAAACCATAATAATTTCGACAAACTTACTACTCCATCGAATTAAACTCGATTTAAAATCGTTTTCATTTTCAGCGATACCGCTTCAAAAGATTCCATAAACAAAATTAAAAACACACCACGTAGGGGACACTGGCCGCGGCAGCGCGATCAAATTTGGAATTCTTAAAATAAAAACTTTTGAATTTCGTTTGTTTTGAATCTGACGTACACAGCAAGTGCTTAAACAGTGCGGAAAATTTGTATTCACTGAAAAATCTATTTTAAAGTAATAAAATATAATTTTAATACTTTTATTGTGCTTGAACAAAATGCCTAGATGCTTCTTATATTCCGTGCGGTCTCTTAGACACAGTTTCATACATGAATCGTCTTCATTTTCCTATGAAAGTAAGTACTTTGCTGTATTGTATAATCATAAAAAAGGTTTCTGTCACACGAATGCTGAAGTGAAAATAAGGCCTATGAAAGATTAGGAAAGTGTTTTTCATTTATATGGTGAGCTTTTATCAACGAAAGTCGTGGAAAATTCGTTATTTAAACGGCACAGTGTTTCACATGTAGAGATTGATCTTAGGTTTGTTTAATAGATAAATTATATTAAATTAGTAGGTAACTAGTTTAATTGCGATATGTAAATACAAAATATTAACGATTTTATATAATATAACTAAAATATTTTATAAGTAATAAGTACATAAAAGTAAGTAGTTTTCGGTGTGTTGCGGTCTAAGATGTTTTTATAGTAGTTGCGGTCCATTCGTCAGTCCTCGGATTTTTACGAAAATTTGCCCTATGGTGCCCTACGACACCTTCCCTTTAAAATGGAAGTTAATATTTCAGATATAACTTAACTTATTTTATCTTCTAGTTGAACCCAAACCAGCTCGAGGTCCGAAAATGAACTTGAAACGTCAAAAGAATCTTCTCAAAACCAACGAAACTCTCTTCAACGACAAAGTCCCTATATCCACGCGTTTCTACCTCCAGCTCTTAAAAAGAAGCCAATTCCTTGAAAACTTTCTTAGCACAGAAACCTACGAATACGCTTCTGAAAGCGAACGGCCTGTCATCTCACCAGAACCAAAAAGAAGCAGCCAGATTAAAAAAGAAGTAGACAAATCGAGTTACAACCTGCGATCGGAGGGTAAAACGGAACGTAAGGTGTTTTACAAGAAAACGCGCGGGAAAAGGCGAAAAAACATGGCCGACAAAATCAACAAAATTGTTTCTGTGCAAGACAAAAAGAGTAAGAGAGAGCCGTTAGCTCCTATATTAGAAGAGATAAGAAATAGAGAGCCCCTGAAAAGTAATAGTAAGGGATCGGAGATAGATAAGATAGCAGAGAAATTGAAGAGCTTGTTCAAACAGACTGCTGAAGAAAATCTCAATAAAGAACTTTTGACTTGCAAGGAGCTGTTTGAGAAAGATACTATTGAGGCTGACAGTGACCATGGTAAAGAAAATGAAGAGGAAAAGAAAGAAGGTAAAATAATGACTATTTTACTTTAAATTTTAAATAGGTAGCTATAGTCTGGTCCGTGAGCACGTAGAATTTTGTCCAATGACCCCAAGCTACCCATCCTTATCGCTCGCGCGTAATTATGTTGCTATCGCGCTCGCACACTCACTGCGGGTGCCAGTCGCACAGTCGCGACATCAATATAATTACGCGCGAGCGATAAGGATGGGTAGCTAGGGGTCATTGGACAAAATTCTACGTGCTCACGGACCGGGCTTTAGATATCTTAAATGAGATCCGTTGGAGAACCAAAGTAACCGACATATCCCGAAGAGTTGACAAACTTTTAAATAGTGGATGGGCACCTTAGCGGGATTTCTCGAATGGCGGCGAACACGGACTGGAACACGTAATGTAAGCCTAGACCTCTCACTGGGTGGACTGATGATCTAGTGAAGCTCGCAGGAAGCACGGACGCTGGCAACAAAGTAGACGTAGTATGTATAGTTGTAGAAATCCTTGAGAGGCTTTTATACAGCAGTGGACGTCTTTTGGTAGAAACTAAAGTGGGTTGATGCTATACATAGATAGATCGTGCCATCCACGAAGACGCGTCCCACCAATTTTTGGTCGAGGGAAGTGCGGGATGCGGGGAATTTTATCCGAGTAAGTAATCCGAGCGGTATTATTGTAGTGTGCGTGTGTACTAATGGATAATTTAGCGTGTACCGATAACACTCAAACATTAGCGGAAGAATGAAGTGCATCTCCGTGAATGGCACTACTATCTCATGGCCGTTGGGGCAGAAAAGTTATCGAGTGGCGACCACGGGCTGGAAGATGTAGCGTGGGCAGGCCTCCTACTAGGTGGACTGACGATCTGGTAAAGGTCGCGCGAATAGGGTTGCCAGGTGTCATGCTTTAGCCAGACACGTTTGGCTTTTTACGGTCTTGTCCGGCCAAATATTGTATTGTCCGCCCGGCCTGTTCGGCTTTTTTATTTGGCTACCACGCCAGGCGAAATTCGAGCTACAGAATAATAAGCGCACGCATCAGGACATCGGTGACATGTCCGGCTTTTAGGGTAAAATGTCCGGCCAAAGGAAGCAGAGTCCGGCTCGTCGTCCGGTCATCCGGCGGACGTCATTTGGCTGAAACGAACGAATAAACGAACTATATCTATACTCTCGTTATACTGTTCATCAGCATCGGTTGCAGCGTCCCCCCCGTTGCCGGGGCCCCGCGAGTGGCGCGGGCCCCGCCCCAGCCACACCTGCTCGTATTGCGGCAAGCGCTTCGACCGGCCCTGGGTGCTGAAGGGGCACCTCCGTCTACACACGGGCGAGCGACCCTTCCCGTGCCCTCATGCGCATTGTGGACGGACCTTTGCTGACAGGTGAGATTGGTTTTAGAGTAGGCGCACACACCGTTGATTTTTAGTTGGCCGATAGTTGTGCCCGATTTCAAATTGTATGAAGAATCGGCCAAATCGAATCGGCGTAGTGTGCGCACTCCCATACTGATCAACTGCCCGACTGAACTATCGGCCGACAAAAAATCAACGGTGTGCGCCTACTCTTAAAGTTGTTTGATAGCAGCCCTTTACAAGGATATGGCTACTCCATGGTACTTTATAGGCTGTGTTATATTTCGTTCCATCCAGAGCTAAAAAAAGTTAAATGATGTTTGATTTATAAAGTTAAAGATAAAAAGATAAAGATAAAAGATCATTTATTCACCGAGACAAGGTAATACAACAAGGTAGATGTTACAACAATACAACAACAACAACAACACTTTATTGACAGAGGCTGAAAAATTCGAAAGTTGAGACTTGAGTCCAGTTTAATACTGAAAAAACTTGTGGAAATTGAGATTATTGATCGATTTCAAAATTGTGAAGTTTTCAATAAATACTATAAAAGTATCCAATATTTCCTAAGGAATTATCACCACCCGTGCTACCCTGAGGAAGAGTCTCCCCCCATTTTCCAGTCTCAAAATAGACAATTACATTTCGTTCTGTCTGTAGTAATCTTCTTGATTGTATTTACAGTCTCATAAAACGACATCTGTTTTCCGTTCTTCATCCTTCTATCATCAGGTCGAACCTCAGAGCGCACCAGCGCACCCGGGGCCACCACGCGTGGCAGTGGCGCTGCGCCGAGTGCGGCAAGGCGTTCAGCCAGCGCCGCTACTTGGAGAGACACCGGGCTGACGCGTGCAGGAAGTACAAGTACGTTTCCAACTCCTTGTAGGGTTACATTCATCATCCATCATCATCATCATTTCAGCCACAGGACGACCACTGCTGAACATAGGCCTCCCCCAATGACTTCCACATCGCACGGTTGGTAGCGGCCTGCATCCAGCGCCTCCCTGCTACCCTTATCAGAAACGAGGAGATTCGTAAACGAACTAAAGTCGCTGACATAGCCCGACGGATTAGCAAGCTGAAGTGGCAGTGGGCAGGGCACATAGTACGCAGAACTGACGGCCGATGGGGCAGCAAGGTTCTGGATTGGAGGCCGCGTACCGGAAAACCCAGCGTTACGTCCACCCACAAGCGTTACATTACCACCAGGATATTCCATAGATCATGGTAGACCTAAAAACCACCATTTGCAGCACTACTGGAAAGCATTCAGAGCGTGGAAACACTTGGAATACCACCTAACTGGTGCTTGCTCGCAGTACAAGTACCTTGTAGGGCTCCATTAGGACCAGGACACTTCTCAGATACCAGGGCCACAAGACCCAATTGCGGTACAGCTGGAAAGCGTAGAGTAAGTGGAGGTTCCTCTTATAGCACCAGGCTAATGCTTACTGAAAGAAGAAGTAAGGTTACCAACTCCTTGGAGGATACCATCAGGTCACACCTCAGATAGCAGGACCACAAAGCTTCCACTTGTGGCATCGTTGGAAAACGTTTAGTAAGTGGAAGTTCCTCTAAAAGCACCAGGCTGATGCTTATCGAAAGAAGAAGTAGGTTTCGAACTCCTTGTAGCATACCATTAGGATCAGGACACTCCTCAAATACCAGGGCCACAAGACCCATTTGTGGTACAGCTGGAAAGCGTTCAGTAACTGGAGGTATCTGCAATGCCATCGGGCTGATGCTTGCAAGAAATATACCTATGTAGGTTTCCAACTCCTTGGAGGGTACCATCAGGTCAAACCTCAGAGCGCACCAGCGGACCCGGGGCCACCACGCGTGGCAGTGGCGCTGCGCCGAGTGCGGCAAGGCGTTCAGCCAGCGCCGCTACTTGGAGAGACACCGGGCTGACGCGTGCAGGAAGTACAAGTAGGTTTCCAACTCCTTGTAGGGTTACATTCATCATCATCATCATCATTTCAGCCACAGGACGTCCACTGCTGAACATAGGCCTCCCCCAATGACTTCCACATGGCACGGTTGGTAGCAGCCTGCATCCAGCGCCTTCCTGCTACCCTTATCAGAAACGAGGAGATTCGTAAACGAACTAAAGTCGCTGACATAGCCCGACGGATTAGCAAGCTGAAGTGGCAGTGGGCAGGGCACATAGTACGCAGAACTGACGGCCGATGGGGCAGCAAGGTTCTGGATTGGAGGCCGCGTACCGGAAAACCCAGCGTGGGACGTCCACCCACAAGGGTTACATTACCACCAGGATATTCCATAGATCATGGTAGACCTAAAAACCACCATTTTGCAGCACTACTGGAAAGCATTCAGTACGTGGAAATAATTGGAATACCGCATAACTGGTGCTTGCTCGCAGTACAAGTAGGTTGCCAACTCCTTGTAGGGCTCCATCAGGACCAGGACACTTCTCAGATACCAGGACCACAAAACTTACTTGCAGTACAACTGGTAAGCGTTCAGTAAGTGGAAGTTTCTCTTATAAAACCAGGCTGATGCTTACTGAAAGAAGAAGTAGGTTTCCAACTCCTTGTAGGACCATCAGGTCAAACCTCAGAGCGCACCAGTTCAGCCAGCGGCGCTACTTGGAGAGACTCGGGGCTGAGTCGTGCAGGAAGTACAAGTAGGTTTCCAACTCCTTGTAGGGCTCCATAGGACCAGCAATGATACTCCGAAACGCTGTTTTTGTATTTTCGGGTCTACCTGTCACCGTCGCTCATGCTGGCATCTCCCTTTGCGTGAGAGGGATGGCAACATTCGAAACTTCGGTTGCGTTTTTTGGAATATCCCCGCAGGACACTTCTCAGATACCAGAACCACAAAGCCTATACTTGTGGCATAGTTGGAAAGCGTTTAGAAAGTGGAGGATCTCCTAATAGCACCAGGCTTATGCTTACCGAAAGAAGTACGTTCCCAACTCCTTGTAGGACCATAAGGTCAAACCTCAGAGCGCACCAGTTCAGCCAGCGGCGCTACTTGGAGAGACACCGGGCTGACGCGTGCAGGAAGTACAAGTAGGTTTCCAACTCCCTGTAGGGCTCCATTAGGACCAGAACACTTCTCAGATACTAGGACCACAAAGCTTCCACTTGTGCCATTGCTGGCAAACGTTTGTAGAGGTACTTGTTGTACTGCCTTCAGGCTGATGCTTACCGAAAGAAGCGTTATGGTAGCACTTGGAATACACCACCCTCTGATACTTGCTCGAATTACAACTACGAGTAGGTTTTCAACTTCTTCATTTCCAAAACAGAAGCAGGACAATCAGGGCGATTGGCAACAAACTACCATCAGGAATCGAACCCAGAATCTCATTATACTGATCAATCACTGGAATACATAAGTTACTACAACCCAATCGAGCTAACTGCACACCTCGCTTGAATGCGACTCTCCCTTCCACACCTCCCTGCTTTCGCCCCGTCCGTACCAGAGGGTCGACGTGACGTCACTGCTGCCAGGTGCGCAGTTAACTCAACTTCTAACGACTATTAATAACAATTTTATCATCCAGAATGCACACCCGCAACTCCAAGTGCGTCGAAGCCCACACCAAGTCTGAGAGGGAGGCTCCTCTCCCGGTGCCTCTGTACGGGATCATCAGGCCCCACGCGGCCTCTGAGGCCTGCCAGGACACGCCCATCGACCTGTCGGTCGGGAAGAGGACTGATGCGACCGATGCCTGATAGTTGTCGGACAATTATTTAATAGTAGTGGCAGAAGCTGTGCTAAGTGAATGAAGTGTTTTAGTGTTTATTAATATTTAATTTAACTTTAAGGCATGGAAAAAGACAATGTATAAAGTCTGAACAAAAATAAAGTGGTACGATTTGCACGAGATTTCTATTATTTTGATACAGAGTACTCATTTTTTGTAGTAACGTATCGTTTTTTTTATACGTCTCACCACACCACACTACTTAATTCAGTTTTTAGAAGAAGTTCACCCACGCTTACGCATATTCACAAACGTTACTATGAGGTCTCAGTGCGCGTGGACTCACAGGGTGACACACGTACCAATCACAGAGCTCTATTCAACGCTGTGCGTTTGATTTTAGTTTTTACAAAAATAAAATATGTCCTCAGCACAAGCTCTATGCTATGCTTTATTTGAAATTAGATATTATGATTTGCATGTGGATTGAGTGATCCTTGCTTCAATCTTAACAAAAATGGATGATTTTTTCCCTTATTTTCCTGTGTACCCTTGGCTGTTCCCTTGATGGTACAGTGGAAAATAAATTTTAACCGCTGTACCCTTGGCCGTAAAACCCAACCAACTTAAATTGCACACGTGACCAAGAGGACTAGCTTTTCTTGAATTTGGCCAAAAAACAAAAACAAATGAACATCGATAAAAACAAATGAAGAAACATAAATGGTATAAATTTGTCCTATTAAATAAATAATGTAATTATTTTCTACTTTTTAGTGCAGGTTATTTGGAGTCGGTTTTAATTTTTTTGTTAAAATTAATTTATTTCATGCTTTTTAGTTGATTAGTCCTTGTTATTCTCACTGAAGATGGACAGTACCTATGTTTAATGAGATTGAGACTATAGTTTTCCATTTTAAGTGTAAATAATCTTCCCTACAATACAGGCTACCTACTTTAAATATGGGCAACTAAAAAGTATCATCTGATTCCTAACTTACGAAGTTTGACCTTTCATCATCAGCTCACCTAAAAAACCTGAATTAACAACTGTATACACATACGTAGGTACCTAAAATATTTAAAGAATTATTCTCCAACTCCTAAGCGTTAAGTTGTTTTACTTTCCATCATCACCTCATCAACATTAGATAATGACTAACAGATGCATTGCATATACTTGAATATCTTTAGAATAAATATGAAAAACGATATACGTGCTTATAAAATTTGAGGGTTGCCCTGGATTTCCCTAGGATCCCATCATCAGATCCTGACTTGGTGACAATAGGAACACCTCAGAAGTATACCCTATTGAACAAAAAAAGAATTTTGAAAATCTGTCCACAATTGACGGAGTGATACGTGAACATAAATAAAAAAAAAACATACATACACCGAACATAATAACCTCCTCCTTTTTTGAAGTCGGGTAAAAATGGCGTAATATTGTCTCTATTCTATGTACTTAATTAATTATATTTCGTTTTACTTTTATCTACATTTATGTTTCTTCATTTGTTTTTATCGATGTTCATTTGTTTTTGTTTTTTGGCCAAATTCAAGAAAAGCTAGTCCTCTTGGTCACGTGTGCAATTTAAGTTGGTTGGGTTTTACGGCCAAGGGTACAGCGGATAAAATTTATTTTCCACTGTACCATCAAGGGAACAGCCAAGGGTACACAGGAAAATAAGGGGATTTTCTTAGTTAAAATATTGCGGTGAAGTGAAACTTCCTCGATTTTTGTTAACATTGAAGCAAGGATCACTCAATCCACATGCACATATATTATGGTGTATTTTTTCTTATAATTTTACAGATAAATTAAACACCAGTCAAATTTAAAATTTATTTATTACAATAAATTAAATAAATACAATTTGTACAACTTACTAAGAACAGCTAAATTACGAAAATACAACTCATTTTCGGGACGTGGTAGACACTTCACGTGGGTTTAAGATTTGAAGGTTTGCAAAGAGCCAATTTCATTAGTTACATATTAAAATTGTGGACTTTTACGTCTAAAATAAAACAGATTTGATTTGATTAAATATCCAGTGACTTTATCGATTGTTTTTATGATTATTTGTATTTTTCCACGGAACCCTAGTTATTTTTCCAATATTTAAGTTTGTGTTTAAGAACACCGCTAGCTAGTTAAGTCCTATCAAAATCGGTTCAGCCGTTTCGGAAACTAGTCGGAATTTATTACTTTATGTGCAGAAGTTATGTTCGTATTGACATAATATTTTATAATCAGGCCTTGAAGAAGGAAAGGTATAAATAAAATATATAAATAAAGTGCTATACTTCATTGTAAGTAATGAAAAGAGCTCGTATATGGACACAATCATAGAACACATAAATACAACAATAAGTTAATAAGGCATACGTTATTTTTTTACATGATACACTGGATAAGGCTATGAAATTACATAGTTTTCAGCAATTCTTTATTAACTCACTCAGGTTCTAATTCTGATACGATGCTCAAGTATGAATCTAGACTCAAAAACAGACTCAAGCCATGTTTTATTAATCACAGACGAGTTTGAATCCAGTTTTGAGAGCAGTTTCAGAATTTTAACCGATTATTTGACAATATTTCGTTACAACGTGTTTATTATAATTTATCTATTACTTAAGTAGTTATTTTACGAAAATTGGCAGTAAGAGATATTCATAAGTTTGGATCGTTCTTCCCTAAGCACTATATTGTTCTCACATACAGCATTCGCGAACATTAACGAACGTTCGGCGATTTTGCGAGTTCGCTTACAAAAATATATTTTATTTTTTATTTTTATACAGGTATTTGACCACAATCACACCTGGTGTTAAGTGAAATGCAGTCTAGGATGGTACATATCTGCCCTGTAAGTGCCTATTCACTCTCGCCTTAAAAAGGCCCGGAATAAACTAAACCGGATTCGGGAAAGACAACAGCAGGTAGCGAATTTCAGTCCCTAGCTATTCGCATTATGAAGTTACCGAAACGCTTAGTGCAAGCTGGTGGCGTAGTGTGAGTTTACGTCAAACCATTCGATGTCAACTGCGTAAAAAAGTGACATTAATGACGGATTTTACAGCGCCCCTAGCGGGAACTTTCAAGAACTACATTTTTTTTAAGGCGCTCGCTAGTGATGACTTTTGATATAAACTCACACTAATGCCCGTATTCACAAACGTTACTATGAGGTCTCACAGTGCGCGTGGACGCACAGGGTGACACACGAACCAATTACAGAACTCTATTGAACGTTGTGCGTTCGATTTGCTGCTTTACTTAAGCAAGCATCGTTTGTGAATACGTACGGGCGTAAGCCCTCTGGTGGATGTCTGTTCAACGAATGCTGTAAGTGAGAACGTATCTTAATATTAATATTTGTGCTGTGCATCGTAGAAAACCAAAGCTATGTATGTAAATGTGAAATGTATGTGTGTATTTTAAAACCTAAATCTAACATATAAAGCGCAGAGAAAGGTATTTCTCAAGATCATATTCGGAATGAAAATATTATACAATGTCGTCCAGGCTCAAGTGACCGGCCAAGCATTCTAAATATTCATGGAAAATTATCTTAAAGTGACATAAGATGTTAACCAGACCACATAAGATTGGCATGGGCGTACTCAGCTTCTGGCCTAGGAGGAGGCAAGTCACCAAGTCACCTAGTTTCTGTGCTGACAGAGGTGACTGATACCCGTTTTCACCATCAATCCCTAATTTAAGTGAGCCCTATGGTAACACGTACAGGAATTTTGTTTATATAGGGGCACTTAAACATTAGGGATTGATGGTGAAAACGGGCATTGTTTCTTCCGCCACTTCTTCTCAGCACCAGCCCATATGTTGTCCTGAAGTGGTGGTAGGGCATGCTTTATACTGAATAAACAATTTTTTTTATTCTGGCCGAGAGGGGGGCTACTTCCAGTAATGTCCCATGGGTACGCTCATGATTCACACGCTCGCAAACGTGGTCGCCCCAAGCAAACTTGGCAGCGCACTGTGGCAGACGAGGCGAAGAAGATCGGCAAGACTTGGAGCGAGATCAAACGCGAAGCTCAAGACCGAAAGTGATGGAGGACTGTTGTGGACGCCCTCTGCCACATCTAGGGGACATAGGACCATAAGTCAAGTAAGTCAAGTACGCTCATGATGATTGGTCATTCAAACTATTCTTGGTTTGGTTTAACAAACTTTATAAATTACTTGAAAAATAATGCAGTTAGACCCCCTTTTTGAGGTTTTTTTTTTTATATTTTTTTAAATATTTTCAATATTTCGGACGGTCACTTGCGACTGGGAGATCTTGTATAGCGCATAAAAGTTCTGTTTGGTGATAAATATTGAGTCATAGTCATATTCAATCGATTTTCATTCCGATATTGATTATTTTGACAGGAATGTCGCGATGCTTAACAGATAATAAAATGTTAAATAGAAAAAATAACGACTTATAATGATACATTAATGTTAAAGGGTGTAAATAATGTGTTTAATAAATGAAAAAAAAATATCTTCTCTGAAATTATTTAACTCAAGTAGTGGTAATGATTAATGTGGAAATGCTTACGACAATGTATTTGTGTAATAAAAAGATTACTAGTAATATTATAAGTTAAAAGCATATCAATATTGCTGCGGGCGAAAGTGTGCGAGTTCCATTCCTGTACTATAAAATTGTATCACTTTTTAGATAGCAGCCAATTATGCCCACTTTACACTATGCTGGTAAACTGTTTCTAACTGTATGTACGTACAGTCAGCGTCAAATTGTTCGTGACACCCAAAGTTGCCAAAAAGTTGACAACAACCTTATTCCAACCGAAACAAGGACGTATTTAGAACTTTTTGACCACTTTGAGTTGATGTCGACTGTAAATTTTTTGTACATGAAAATATATTTTTGTATTTATTGGCTGAGATTATGAAGATGATGATATATTGGTACATAATATCTATTATTATCTATTCAAAAAATAACAATTCGTTCAGCCGTTTTATATTCGTCATTCATACCCATACAAGCGAAGCTGAGTTTGGAACTAGATGGCGCTGTGTGAAATATCTAAGGATTATATTCCATACTAGCTTTCCGCCCGCGGCTTCGCGCGCGTGGACTACATTATCTACATATTTTACGGAACCCTATTTTTTTCCAAAATAAAATTGAACCTATGTTACTCGTGGATAATGTAGCTTTTGAATGGTGAAAGAATTTTTAAAAACGGTCCAGTAGTTTTTGAGCCTATTCATTACAACCAACCAAACAAACAAAGTTTTCCTCTTTATAATATTAGTGTAGATAAAAAACACACGTTACGCACACGCATGTAGCAATATGAATATACCTTTATTAAAGAGATTCACAGTAAATAATATACGCCCAGAATGTATTCGCTTATTAGTCTATTTAACTTATTTCAGAAAATAGTTTTTTTTCTATATTTTATTTATTGGCACTCGTTGGTATACAGGGTGAGTCAATACATTTTCAAATATCTCTTGATTGATATGGTTTAAGACATTTATTTCTCTAAAAGAATTACATTCACTTACAAGAGAAATACAAAATTAACCTTAAAACTATAGATTATTTAAAGTTTATACAATTTTATTTGTTTACATTTTAATATTTTTTGCACGAAGCAGACGCGTACAATAGCAGTCACTCGAGTATTAATATATTGGCCATTCGTGGGTACACTAAGAAAACAGTAGTTATAATTCGTAACGACAGGTCCAATTACGTATCGTATTCTAGTTTCTATGAGAATGTTGTACTTAAGTCACTTTTTTTTTAAAGTTATTTTGATTTTATTTGCTTCAACCATTTTTAGTATTATTAAATTATCATTTTAACAGATTTAATTAAACTCCGAGAATTGGCTCATGAAATAAAGTTTAACCTTTTTTTTGAACGATAGGAATGATTTTGTGCCTTTGATGTCATTAGGTAATTTGTTATACAGTTTCGCCCCTTCATACAATACATTTTTCTTACCATAGTTTGTTCGGGGTCTTAACAATTGGATGTCATTGGGTTTTCGTAGGGAACGTTTTGAAAATTGTGATTTAATATTAAAGGATATTTGTGTATGAATATACTTTGCTAGTATTTTACGTACAAGTATACATGTATTGTATTTATATATTTGGGACAAAGACATAAGTCCGGTTTTTTTATAAACTTCTGATGTTGGAGTTAAGAAGTCAAAATGAAACAGCAATTTTATAATTTTATTTTGAGCGGTCTGTAATTTTTTAAGGTTAGTTTTAGCAGCACAACCGTATAGCTCGATTAAGTAATCTAGGTGGGGTTTTACCAATGCATTGTAAATGGTATATCGGACGGACGTAGGAAAACAGTGTACGTTACCGCGCAGGACAGACATTAGGTTTGATAATTTTGCTCGGGTTTTTTCGATCTGTGGTTTCCAAGTTAATCGACTATCAAGTATGAGTCCGAGGTATTTTTCAGAATCCACTTGGGTCAAACGTTCATTATTTATGCTGAGAGGCTCGAAATCAGATATGGGCTTATTTTTGGCGCTNTCTTTTGCAGCTTCGTCATCTGGTGCTCTGATGTAGTCATATCCAAGCTCATTTCTCTTACTGATAGCTTTAATTATATCCTTGTTGATCCAGTCCATTTTTGGAGGGTTTATCATCTTAGTCTTATTTATTTTGCTTCTTCTCACAGATTCAAGTAGTTTTTCCTCTAATTTCTCATATTCACCATTACACTCGTCTATTTTCACGGACTTTAATTCATCAAATAGTGTGCTATAATTAATGGCTTGATACTCAACTCTCTTGGTCCTCTCTGGTTCAAATCTGTTCACTTCCAATGCAATGTGCTTGTGGTCTGATATTACCGACTCTATAATAGTTAAGTGAAAGGTGTTATTTTTAATGTTTGAGCAAACGTGGTCCAGGATCGTTTTTGAAGTTGCTGTCTCTCGTGTGCAATATTTGGGATCAATTTGATTAAGTATAATAAAACCATCCTCCTTTAACATTTCTCGGTAATCTCTGGTGGGTTTACTTCTTTTAAGTAAATCGTAGTTAAAGTCTCCAAATACTAATGCCCTCCTTCGCTTAAGCATCTGCCGCGAATAGGATTCAAGAAAGTTAAGATTGTTGGTCCTCTCAGGTTTGTAAACAGCACCTATGTCCAAGGAGAATTTGCCTATGTGCACCCACAAGAAGTGGTTGTCATTCTCACAAAGTTCATCAATGCAACTATGATTAAGGTTATTGTGTACGAAGATCGAAACACCACCCCCCAACACATCTCTCCGGTAATTATAATAGTGGGTATAATTCGGCAGCTGTATACTCTGGGCTTCTGATTCAGATTTTATCCAGGTTTCTGTTAATATTATAACATGTATCTGATGTGGCGTAGAATTAATGATGCATCTGAGCTCGTCTAGTTTTCCTGGCTTCACGATACTCCGTATGTTTGCATAGAGGAACTTTAGTGATTTACTATTTTGCTTGAGGTTTGTATGGTTGCTCACGATGTCATAAGTTATTGTTTCGTTCACGGCTTGAGTTGCTTTAGCGGATTCTGTTAGTTTTTTGCCTGAATCAATTTTGGGATACCCTTGATGAATTTGATAGTCAAATCCTTTTCACCGGCTTCAGTTCGTTGTTTCAATTCATCTCTCAGCTTTTGCATCACTTTTTTCTGATATGGTGTTTCATCTGAGTAAATTTTAATTTTGGGGTCTTTTTGGAAGGTTGTTTTATTTCGAAGAATGAGTTTCGGCGTTTCTGATGTTTCAAAACAAGCCTTTATTGGTCGGGATTTATTACTGTCAAATTTGGCGATTCTAAAAAAATTCTATAAAAAAATTAAAAAAAATCTCAAAAAAATTTTGACCTCTTTTTTGTCGATAAAAATAGGTCTAGTTTCATCTATTTTCATATGTACACTTTAACGTGACTCACACTGTATAAAAAATCTGACACCGAAAAATTCTCACAAAGACTGCCTCAGTCATAACTTTAATTTAACTATGCAGTTTCTGCCAAAAGCCTGTAGAGATGCTTTAATGAAATTCTTGAAATGGCTTAATGGGGTGCTACACTCTGATATATTATATTATTATTTTTCTTTAACAATAATCAAGCTTATCTAGGGAACTAGCTAATAGATTATCTGGGTGTCTACACTACGAGTATATGGATCAATTGGACAAGTTTGATTTTAAAATCAATTTTACAGAAGATTTAAGCACCAGGCAGGAAAAAATTAACTAACCTAAATGACCACTTCGTCCAGTTCAAGTCTTACCATCACGTCTTACACAATTGATACATACACCTAGCTAAACCCGCGCAGTGAATAACTTAACAAAACACACTCACAACTCGCAACACCAGCTCGTAATTTACGAATGAAGGATCGTCTAAAAAGTTGCAGCCATAACAGCGGCATACGACTGTTTTATTTGTTTTACCGGCCGACTTGCGAGTTTTACGGCCGCTAACTGAATATAAAAATGATCGAGGTGTACGCAACTTTGGTGCGCAGTTAAATCTGTAATTGGAGTTGCGAACAAATTAAGCGGATGGGATTTGCAAATGAAATATTATTATACCTTTACATTACACATATCTCGTAGAGCTGGGGCAGGAAAGTTCTTGAGTGGCGACCACGAGCCGGAAGACGTAGCGTGGGCAGACCTCTCACTAGGTGGACCGACGATCTGGTGAAGGTCGCGGGAGGCGCCTGGATGTGAACGGCGCAGGACCGGTCTTTGTGGAAATCCTTGGGGGAGGCCTTTGTCCAGCGGTGGACGTCGGAACGAACGAACCTTAACACGTGTTTTCAATCAGTGGAATTAGTAATCAGGACTTTACTTATTATTGCTAACATCAGAAATAATGGATTCCACACCAATCTTTCATCGCATTCCAACATAACTAGGCTTTTTCACAAGAAAATATCTCGATGTCCTTATTTATGCAAATAGGGTATCAATATCAATTCATAATACAGGCATTAGACTCCCGGGGGTCCTTGACTCATCCAAGTTGTCCGATAAAACGTGATTCTAAACTTTGGAGGGCGCTTAAAGCCGCCAGTCTGATGGTTTGACCTCATTCGCATATTCAATATTGTCGTTTTAGGTTCTCAGTAGATTGTGTCTTCTGTCACGCAGTTTGTCAGTCAATTTCTTCAAAAAATAAGGTGAATTCATAGCAAGTGACGTTTATCCTTCAGTCAGATAAAAAACCGCATACTGAATCAAACTCCCGAAAAATAAAACCTTATTTTTCTGCAGATGTGTGATTAATTTGTTCCCAAAAAAGAGCCCCACGCATGGGTATTGTCTTGCATGATTTGCGGATCCTGACCGACCGATGACGGTTCATTTTGGCACAATGGCCAGCCTTTTAAAACCTTCCGCTGTAATGACTGTAAAGTTCGTCGATAGGCAAAAAATGTGGAACTTGAAACGGGCGGGATCGGCAAAAGTAATTTTGTGGAGCGAATGTAGACGCGATGAAAGGAAAAAGTTTGGTAGGGCCCGATCTGAATAATAATAATGTACGTGATACTGCTGATACGTATTTGGGGGCAATTGTGGTGGGGGGGCATTATGGGGCGCCATTGGGCGCACACGTCGTATTTAGCAAGTGTCGTTACGGTATCGCAACTCGCAAATGGTAGGGCAAATGAGCTGACGTAATTCGTATGTATTTAATGCATTTTTTTTATCTTGTTATCGTACGCCCGTGTTCACAAACATAACTATGAGGTCTCACAGTGCACGTGGATGCACAGGTTCACACACGAACCAATCACATAGCTCTATTATGCAAGAATCGTTTGTGAATACGAGCGCGGCGTTATTTCTCAAGTGATAGATGGTCATTTAAAATTAAAAATCTTCAGCATAATAGTCGACCAACATTCAAAAACTTCGCCTGTGTGTATGTGAAAAAACATCGATGCCCTTTTTCACCATTAATCCCTAATTTTTAAGTGACCCCTATGGTAATAGGCATTTTGTTTACATAGAGGTCACTTAAAAATTAAGGTTGAAAACTGTGAGATAGGTATTATGACATCTTAAACGATCTTCATTACTGAAATGTCCAGTATGAATTGCACAGTTGCATATCCATAATGCACCGGTTAGTTATCATTCATCAACAGTTATGCAATTTACACACAAAAAGTTATTTAATCAAAAAATTGCTCCGTTGCAAAAACACCTATGCCCGAATAAAAACATTTCGCATACTCTTTGGGAGTTCTTTTTAATTAATCCATACTTACTGGCTGCGGTCCAGAATTATGTTTGGCTCGGGGTCAACGAGTGTTGAATTCCAGTACCTGGGAATTATTTTAAACCCAAAAAACTGACCTGGAACGAGTGCGAGCGGACAGAAGGTTCGGTATATTTTTATTACGTCCGAAATTATAATATTTGTGAATGTCTTCATTAATTTCAATTGCATTCTGTGAGCTTCATCGTTTGAGAACGGATCGACAGATTTAGCAGATTCTTTTTGTTTGTAGTTTTGATATAACATGATTTTTATAATAGAAAAATAAAACTTTATCTATTTTCACAACACATTTTTCTATGGATCACCTAACACCCTCAAATTGTTATTGCTACAGACGAAATATATTACTTATAATATTCAGTTCTTTATAAATTTTACGAGACCCTAAAAAAGACCTTGCAATTAATCCGACTTGCAGTTTAGATAAACGTTATTTTATTAAGCTCCGAAAAAAAAATAACGCTGGAAAATTAATTTTAATACATACTTGTTTCCGAAATTTTAGTTTTCACGTTTACTTTGAATTATCAAGTCAAGAATAATATTACATTTTTTGAAAGCTCAGAATCTGTTAACTGTAATTAGATAGGCAGGTACCTAGCATTTTGTCAAGTAAACGTTTGTTTTCATAAAAAAGGAAGTCACAGTATATTTATTTAGCCAAATATTTGCCAGATGTCTATGTTCTTCTCTAATAGTGACTACAAAATGATACTGTTTGAGTGACTCACCTACAATTTCTATTTATTAAAACTGTCCCTTGCCATCGTCACAGTTAAACAAAACGTCATTTTCTGCCAATTTCAATGAATACCAAATTCCTTTTCACTTTAGAAAAAGCTTTTATTATCCTTATCGCCTTACGTTATTGAGTTAATCTGCATCTGCAATCTGAGCTCCCAGTCAAAGCAGCTCAGATAAACGGGAATCGCATCAGGCCCACCATTAAAGCAATGAGTGTAATGGCCAAGGTTGAGTTATGCTCTGTGCCCAGTTCTGAGGCCAGTGAGTTTTAGCTGAGCGGCGATGCTCAAACTGTGTGCAGCCTTCAGGCGGCCATATTAGACTGTCTTCTTCTTCTTATTCGTTACGCTCTTGGCAGAGCGGTCGTGGTAACGTTGAGGCGTTGTTCACATCGGTTGTAGAGGCGCATACAACTCTCCGCACGATCTCCCTCCATCTGTCTCTATTGGCAGACTGTCTGGTGCAGTCACATAAGCCGTCTCCCATTGCTGCTTTCACTTGGTCGGTCCAGCGCATTGGTGACCTGCCACGCGATCGGGTTCCTTCGACTTTTCCCTGGACGACCAGTCGTTCTATGCATATTAGACTGTACCTGCCTACATTTATGGCCTGTTTAGCAGTGGATTTAGTGGTTTAACAACGTAAAGCGGTGGAAGATTTTAAATCTTCCCGTTCCACTACAATTAAAATTATGAGCTTCGAAGAAAGAATGATAAAACTTTATTGGCACTGCGTTTTTGTTTTAGTACAACAATAATCACAAGTAGACATACGAGCCAGTGATGGATAACACCTTATTGACATAGGGGAGACCGGGTACAATAGTACCACGGGTCAATAGTGTGATGTCTCCGCCTTGGAGACGTAAATAAAAGTTGTTTCTATTTGAAGATACTGTCTTTTATTTTCGATTAAACACAGAGCTTACAAGATTGCCTATCGCCATTTTGTCTGGCGTATCAAGAAGAAAGAATCTCGGATANAAGGTTGTTTTATTTCGAAGAATGAGTTTCGGCGTTTCTGATGTTTCAAAACAAGCCTTTATTGGTCGAGATTTATTACTGTCAAATTTGCCGATTCTTATTACTTTATTAGGTTGTGCACAGTTGAGTCCAAAAGACTCAACCACATTTTTGACTTGAGACATATCATGGTTGCGTCTTTCTTCTAAACTTTTAGAGATTATTTCGTCTATACCAACTATGATCAGGTTTTTCTCCCTCTGATAACGTTCTTGAACTTCAGAAATCAAATCGTCACAATCAGTTAATGGAGTCCAACTCATGGTGCCAGTCTTCAGTGTATCAACTTTGCTTTCTATGGCTTTTATTCTATTTTCAGTTTCCGTATTAAAGTTAGTTATTGTTGAGAGTTCCTTTTTGAATTTGCATTGCTCTTCCTCTAGACGAATTGATGTTAATTTCATTTGTTCTACTTGGAATTTTATTAGTGACACATCTTGTGCTATTGTATTCAATTTTTCACTTTGGGATTCTGCCATTGTAGTCAATAATGCCATCACTTTACTTTCAAAAGCATCGAATTTAGCATGTAGGTCTTCTTCAGAGTGCTTTCTTTTGTGTCGAAAAGTTACTTGCTGTAGTTCCGAATCATGCAATTTAAGTTGTCTCAAATCGGGTTGCGATCCGCTGCCACTGACAGCAACAGAACGTGTTGTTATCACGCAGTCGCTTTCATCGCGCATAATTGGTCCCTTTTTTGGTGAGTGACGTACGTTCATTTTAGCGCGGTGGCGTAGTGTGGTGAGTGAGACGAATTATCGCAGCTTGTCTCTCTTACTCGAGGGGGTGAAGAGGGCGTCCTTAGTTGAGACTCGAGCTCAGCAACAGCTTATATCACTTTTGGTGCTTAGACGATTTGTAACTTTTGTTTACACACTTTAAGTTTAGTTTACTATGAGCACGAATTTATAATTTTCGTACTATTTTGCAACACGTCCGCCTCGTATGCTTGCTTGCGCGNCGTTCTTGAACTTCAGAAATCAAATCGTCACAATCAGTTAATGGAGTCCAACTCATGGTGCCAGTCTTCAGTGTATCAACTTTGCTTTCTATGGCTTTGTTGACTAATTTATAGTGATGGGCCGACTATGGTCTTTGCCGACTAACCGACTAGCCGACTAATCGGTTTTCAAATTGCCGATTAGTCGGCCGACTAATCGGCAATGCCGATCATTCTAATACCTACTTGTCCGAAGAATAATAGATATCTAAAGATATCTAGATTTCTAAAGATATCTAGATTTCTAAAGAGATAAATATAACTTCTTGAGAAATGAGATTTCTTCAACATGAGAAAAAGTAAAGCAACATTACAATCACCTAACAGTACCTAAGGTAGATGTCATAATTTTCGACGGGGGAGGGGTCAGAAGAGGTGACAATATGATCGCCTCCTGCTGGGCTAGGATGCGCGCCGTGATATTATTCTTACTTATCGACGTTAAAATGGTATGGGCAAATTTGCGCTTATCGCGGCACGCATCCTACCTAGGCCCACTGTTTCCTCTTCACCCTCCACGGTGATGGTCAGCGAGCTGGGGGCGTGGGGGTTCCCCCGTCTGCATAGCACGGACTACCACCACCGTCGGATAGGCAGAGCCCGCCATACAGGTGGGCAATTGCTGGGACGGACTGTGATAGTTGATGGCTTTGTCCGGTTCCCATAGTTCTTAATGAAAATGAGCCATAAGGCGATCTCAAGGGTTATTTATGTGGGTATTCCTCATCCTTCCGATGAGAGGAGCTTCAAATAATCTACCACTTCCCCGGTATAGGTATGCAATTCCATGCATTTTTCCCCCGAAAAAGGTCATTCATGCATTTTTTCCCCGAAAAAGGTGTCATAATTTTTATATGGACTTACATAAACTTTACACATTTTTTATGATTTCCTGGTCATTTTAACTAATCTTAACTTTGTATGAATTTAGACTGATTGCCAAAATTTCCATTCAGGTGAAACCACTTCTTACTGATTTTTTGCAGTCAAAAGTGGTTTAGATAAACGCCCTTGGTCCACCTCATAATCATCTTGGTGATTATGAGTTTTATTTCATTCACATATTTTTTTTTTTAATGCGCCGATTATAATCGGCATATTTTGCCGAATAGTCGTCACTAGTCGGCCGACTACAACAAATGATGCCGAATAGTCGGCTTTCCCGACTAGTCGGCCCATCTCTACTAATTTATAATTAAATTAGATGCATTTGGTCACCCAAAGGGCGATGGAGCGTGTTATGCTCGGAGTTTCCCTGCGAGGTCGAATCAGAAATGAGGAGATTCGCAGAACCAAAGTGACCGACATAGCTGGCAGAGTTGCTAAAATCAAGTGGCAGTGGGCGGGGCACATAGCTCGAAGAGCTGATGGCCGCTGGGGCAGAAAAGTTCTCGAGTGGCGACCACGAGCCGGAAGACGTAGCGTGGGCAGGCCCTAGTTATTAGATATTTTTCTAGACTAGACATTTTTCTGAATTTGTACAATCGGTAGAAGCCTTTAATTCTGACTGCCAAAATTATTTTTATTTCCTGTGACAGAAGGAAAACAAGTTATGCTGATGAAGGACGCATCTTCTCTTTGTACGCGAACTAGAGGTGACAATCGACTCACCCTGTATTTAAACTACTTAATCTTTACTATTCACAGCGATGACTAGTTCAAGATTGCGAATGTAATAATATTATAGTAAATAATATAAAAAACAAAAATAAATATCTGTTGTTACCTATGTCTCACTAGTAGTTATGAATAAATAAAAAAAATCTCAATCAATTTTCAACTTCATGACCGAGGCCCAGAACACACGGTGAGACGCAATTGTAAGGAAACTGCAACTTCTGGTTACTTTTGAGAGAGAGAGACCAGTTTGAAATGGTCGCGTCATGTGTGGTCTCTCAACGGAATCTATGGCAGAAACTTAATGCAACTCAAAAGCAACTAGAAGTTGCAGTTTCGTTGCAATTGCGTTTCACCGTGTGTTTTGGGCCTTATAAATACGGTTCAAAACCAATTGAAAATATTTGTAGTTTTATGGTAAACTGATCTTCTAATTATGACGAACTCCACGTTGAGTTTTAAACTATAAATCTTAAGTTTAAGGTTCAAAATTGATTCACAACATAACAGCCAAGACATACAGGGTGTCCCAAAAACAATGGATAACCCTGTAACCATCGATAGGCCTCGCCATGGTCTCCCTAACGTCCAATTTTGACCCCAGTAAAAATATCACCGTTTTCAAGATTTTTAAGTTTTTGTGCATTTTTAGAAAATTGCCACCTGCGATTACTTTTTCTGATGCCATTTCTACAAATGAGGATACTTTTCAATCTAGGTTTTTTCCTTATCACAAGGGATAGTTGGGCTATCAAAAGAAAATATTAAAGTTCAACAAACTAGTTTAAAAGTATGAAAATTTTAAGAAATTGCAGAGAAGAAGGAAAAATTAATTCATTGTCTTGCACTTTTGATCAGACATCGTGTAAAAAAAATGTAGGAAGACCATCGTGCCCATTACCTTAAAAACTTCCTTGGTTAATAGAGATTCTAAAAAGGTATCAGAAGCCTATGTATTCTGTATTATTTTTATCTTATGGCTACTTGAATAACAACTAGTATGAAAACTCCAAAAATGAGTTTTTCTCTTAATAGTTAAACTAGGACTGCATAGTGGCATTAAATACAAATGGATAATTTTTAGCGTAAGAATTTTAATAAAGCAACATTTTTTCATCATCATCATCATCATTTCAGCCATAGGACGTCCACTGCTGAACATAGGCCTGTACCCCAATGATTTTCATAATGACCGCTTGGTAGCGGCCTGCATCCAGCACCTTCTTGCTTACTTTTATGAGGTCGTCAGTCCACTTTGTAGGTGGACGTCCTACGATGCGCTTTCCGGTACGTAGCCTCCACTTGAACCCTGCTGCCTCAGTTCTGCGAAATACTGTGCCCTGCCCATTGCCACTTCAGCTTGCTGATCCGTCGGGCTATGTCAGCGACTTTAGTTCGTTTACGGATCTCCTATTTTCTGATACGGTTTCGTAAAGAAACCCGAGCATAGCCCCTTCCAAAGCACGCTGTACAAAATTTCACGTTTCCGAGCCATTCATCACGGGTATCTGTCTATAGGCACATTTATAAGGTTTAAAACAAAAATTAAGTAATCACAAAAACGCAGAACTGATGGCCAATGGGGCAACAGGGTTCAAGTGGAGGCTACGTACCGGAAAGCGCATCGTTGGACGTCCACATACAAAGTGGACCGACGACCTCATAAAGGTAAGCAGGAAGGTGCTGGATGCAAGCCGCTACCAAGCGGTCATTATGAAAATCATTGGGGTACAGGCCTATGTTCAGCAGTGGACGTCCTATGACTGAAATGATGATGATGATGATGATAAAATGTTGCTTTATTTAAATTCCTACGCTAAAAAATATCCATTTGTATTTAATGCCACTATGCAGTCCTAGTTTAACTATTACGAGAAAAACACATTTTTACAGTTTTCATACTAGTTGCTATTCAAGTAGCCATAAGATAAAAATAATACAGAATACATAGGCTTGTGATACCTTTTTAGAATCTCTATTAACCAAGGAAGTTTTTAAGGTAATGGGCACGATGGTCTTCCTACATTTTTTTTACACGATGGCTGATCAAAAGTGCAAGACAATGAATTAATTTTTCCTTCTTCTCTGCAATTTCTTAAAATTTTCATACTTTTAAACTAGTTTGTTGAACTTTAATCTTTTCTTATGATAGCCTAACTATCCCTTGTGATAAGGAAAAAAACTAGATTGAAAAGTATCCTCATTTGTAGAAATGGCATGAGAAAAAGTAATCGCAGGTGGCAATTTTCTAAAAATGCACAAAAACTTAAAAATCTTGAAAACGGTGATTTTTTTACTGGGGTTAAAATTTGACGTTAAGGAGACCATGGCGAGGCCTATCGATGGTTACAGGGTTATCCATTGTTTTTGGGACACCCTGTATAAAGTAGTTACAACTAAAATTCACAGTGACAGAATGTATGATGATCAGAATACTGAGATAAATACATAAATAAAATAAATATATAGCATATTTCATAAGCTTGTCTCACACAATTACTTCTATACATAATTTCACGTAAAATTCATCTGTCAGCATTTTGAAACGTACATACTGTTATAGTCTGGTCTGCGAGCACGTAGAATTTTGTCCTATGACCCCAAGCTACCCATCCTTATCGCTCGCGCGTAATTATGTTGCTGTCGCGCTCGCACACTCACTGCGGGCGCGCGTCGCACAGTCGCGACAGCAATATAATTACGCGCGAGCGATAAGGATGGGTAGCTTGGGGTCATTGGACAAAATTCTACGTGCTCGCAGACCGGGCTTTAGGTTAACTCAGCAGTGCCTGAGGAATGGGAGGGTCACGGGAGGGGTGACATTGATATATTATGACGTAACAGATCATACAAATCTGAAGCAAATCTGTGGGTCTAGACAAAGTGCAAATTATAATCGCAAACCAGTCGAAAAGTGGTCGAAAAGCCCCTTTTTTGTATGGAGTTTTGACGGATTCGATTTTCGATTCGATCAAAAAGTGCGTTTTGTCTAGGGGGGCTGATGTCTCGCTGACGTTTGACGTTACAAAAACACTCGCGTGTCGCTCTCATACCTCAGGAACTGACTTAGGTAAGCGAGACTTATAACAGAAAGGATGAAGATTTTACTTTATTTTTGCGTCGATAAGATTACAAATAACTGACAGATGAACGATTTATGTATTACAAACTACAAAATATGAAACAGAAGCGTATATTGACTATAACATTTTTGCCAAATGGAATGCGTTTCTAGTTCGAAGGGAGTTCCAGCAACGCGTTCTATTTGGAGAACTAAGGCTTTTTAAGACAAAATTGACGTAGACATGTTTCCTAAAACATGAAGGTATTTTAGTTGTAGGTACTTTTACTAGCATTTACCCCCTACTAATAAAAAGTTACACAGTTGTTGAACACTGTTTTAAAATGACATTTCCATACTAAACGTCACTTTAAAACACAGTTCAACGAGCGTGTAAGTTTTATTAGTAAGGGGGTTAATTTTTATCTCTGACAGTTCTTTTAATAATAATATACATTCAGTGGTAATGTAGTGCGATGTTGTATTATCAGTATTAAATTTATGTAAACAATGTATACGTCAACAGTGGCCATTTTATTTTCGTCTAACACTACGTAAGTCATTTTTGAGAGGCTTGATATTTTAATTATTAGTAATGGTAAAATAACCATTTTAAAAACAATGTTTAAAATTTAATTTAATTAGTTTAAAAAATAAATTTAAACAACCAAAGCTTTATAATTTGAGTTTGAATCGAGTTTCGAGCTTCGATTCTTCGGTTTATCGGATCTATGAACTTAAAATCGCAAACTTAGATTCGTAATACGGATCTACGATATCATTCAGTTTTGTTGTTCTCAAAGAGCTTCAATTCATACAGTACGGCTAGCACGAAAAACTTTCGAGTTCGAATCGTTTGCGTATTCGAATCGCCATCAAAAGATTTGGTACGAAAACTACAACAGCGCCCTTCTGAACGTGTCGTAAAGTGATAAGTTCACTTAGAAATGGTTACATTGAGGATTAAAATTGTCACGTTTAATTTAATTTGAAGGTTGAGTATCGAATTTTGTCGAATACGCAAACGATTCGAAAACGAAAGTTGTTCATGCTAGAGGTACTGTGTGCTTACCATGAGTTTACGTTACATGTGCTCGCTAGCGACTGCGTAAAAAAATGACATTAATTGTATGACATATTGTGCAGCGCCCCTAGCGGCTACTTTCAAGAAACAAAATCTCCATAGAGATTTTTGACGTTTTCGCTAGCGAGCACACCTAACGTAAACTCATGGTAGGTACACTGATCTAAAACTTATCCAGTTTCGTCGCTCTCAAAAATCATGAATATTGACTTACGCGGTGTTGCTCCGCCGCATTATAACGGCGGCGGCTCGCGAATTCCTTCGCTATGACGCGTGCGGCCCGCCATGTCCAATATAGCCTTCGCTTCTGGATTCGTATCCAGCACGCTCACGTCTCGTTCGTCCTGTGAAAAGTAATATAATGTATGATAATTACATAACAAAAATACTTTACGATAATAAATTAATCAATATCTAAATCTAAATATACAGGGTGTTAGGTAAATGGGTATATGAGCAGACACTAGCCCATGTTAACATGGGCATATAAATGGTATGGTGAAGTCAGAAAATTGATTTCTTCATTTTAATTATTTTATTTTTCACACAAATCGGATTTTATAAAATTAATTTTGTATGAAAATTTAAAAAAATAAAATGATGATATCAAATTTCTGATTTCACCATACCATTTATATGACCATGTTGACATGGGTTAGTGTCGGCTCTTATACCCATTTACCTAACAGCCTGTATAGTATAACTCAAAGGTGACTGACTGACTGACATAGTGATCTATCAACGCACAGCCCAAACCACTGGGCGGATCGGGCTGAAATTTGGCATGCAGGTAGATGTTGTGACGTTGGCATCCGCTAAGAAAGGATTTTACGAAACTCCACCCCTAAGGGGGTAAAACGGAATCCACGCGTACGAAGTGGCGGGCGGTCGCTAATTTATCACTTAAATGAAGAAATGGATGTCCTCTTTTACTCAAAAAATACTGAAAGGATATTGATAAAACTACAATATCAATGTTATAGCCTGACCAGGAACATAAAAACCCTGGCATAGAGGCGCTTCAATTGCATTTGATAGTGCAACACTGAGTACAGTCGTACATGTGTTAAATTAATAGGCTNCTATTAAAACGCCGCGCGCGAATCATTTCCAACGATGCCCCTTGAAACGCCGCGCTTCGCGTAAGCGCTCTTAACAAAATTTTTGTCTAATGCTCGTAATGATGTTCGACTCTGCAACGCGAACGCCAGGCAAACGCTTCAAGTGAGTGAGCACCTTTGCGAGATGATCTTAGTACCTATTTCAGCGCCCNTTTACTATTTTGCTTGAGGTTTGTATGGTTGCTCACGATGTCATAAGTTATTGTTTCGTTCACGGCTTGAGTTGCTTTAGCGGATTCTGTTAGTTTTTCAAATGAAAAATTGTATGCTTGGATCCTATCCCTAAAACATGGTTAACTTGTGGCGGATCTTTAACTTTACCCCTACAGCAATTCTTGAAATATAAGGGAAACTGTTTATTGGCAATGATTCAGCATTAAATTTTTTCAGTGGACACAATGCATCGATATTTATTCAGAAAACTTAAAAAGCACAAACCATAAGTACTATGAAGACGAAAGTGAATGTCTTAAAACTGCCAATGGAGATGATAAAGAACCCAGGAAAGCAGTCGATCAAATAGAAAAGGAGGTAATGGACTCTTGCAGGGTACAATGCTCGGCCTAGTTTTGAATCTACCTAATTAATATTTTCAACCGACTTTAAAAAAGGAGGAGGTTCTCAATTCGACCCGTATGTTTTTTATTCAAATAACTTATTTGTAATTGCAGATAAAAAAATGGCGGAAGAGCTTCAAGTACCTTACTCATTTGTGTGAAATTGAACATCCTGATAGTGAAGAGGATGCTAAAACTTGTCTAGTCGAGTATGTTAGTAAAATTGCATTTTGATATTTTATTTACCTAGACGCAGGCCACTACCTGACGTGGACGTCCACTGCTGAACATATGCCTCCCCTAATGTACGTGGAAAGCATTAGGGGAGGCATATGTTCAGCAGTGGACGTCCTATGGCCGAGATGATGATAATATTGTATTTAGATTTTGGGCTGAAATATTCTATCATTCTCGGTGATACATACAGTAATTTGATGAATAAACTCAGAGATTTGGTTTCAGATCGAAAGAGATAACTACAACTTCACCCTACAAAGGCTGATGCTTCTGAAGCTAGAAGCGATGGGTCAGCTCTACATCAAACTATCCTCATCGATAGAAAATTTGGAAGAGTGTTTGAAAATTACCCTGTCTGGGTACCTGGAAAATGCTAGATCACTTTTAAAGTCTATACACAGGTGCTACAATGGGAGAAGAAAGGAAAATTCTACTGATTTAAACGCATAAGTTTCAAACGGCAAAACATAATACTCGTAAGTAATAAGATCAAAATTGCTCAACCAACTTCAGGTCGAACGAAGCAATGTATTGTTATAAGAAACCTACGTGTCCATCCCAAAAAAAAAAAAATACGTGAAGCTAGCAATAACACAATTCAAGATTAATATCTTGACTCGCGTTGAATTAATCAAACCACTTAATTAAAAAATTACCATCTTCCTAGGTAACGATATTTTATGCTAAAAACAATCAGTGCACTTACCAGTTCTGCAGTCCGCCTGCTTTTCTTGTATCGCTCCATCTACCCTCGATAAAAGAATCACATTAATGTCCACGAGTGACTAATAGGCACACATCACAAACAAACACTTCACAATTATTGGTTCACGTAATCTACCTATTTAGCGGTGACCAAATACATAGATGTGGTCTAAAACCGCGATATGGACGGACACTTCTAGACTGTTCTAGATTGAAACGGTAACTCCGGTGACGCGACGACGTCCGGAGAGATCGACATTAAGTCGTAGACTGAAGTAGGCTGCGATGGTAGCGGAAAAATGTTGAAGAAAAAGTGGGTAGTTTAAAAATGCAAAATAATTTGACAGCTGTCAGTGATATTTGGCGTGAATACTTTTTTGTTGGAATTCTGGCAATGGAAAGTTATTGATTAAGCCTAAGTGCAAAATTGTGAGATTTATAAAAAAAATATTTTCTTTATGTAATGGCGTTAAATGAAAATTGTGAAAGATTTCTATCAGAAATCTGTGATAGTGATTTATTTACTATTTTTAATTTATTTTATTTTTAGGTTGGATTTAATAAAACAATTATTTTGTATGAAAATCATCTTGTATTTTTCATTATTAAATAATACTTTTTAGGTATAAAATTCATTGACAATATTTACACAATAAAGTCTATATTACTGACTATTCTTGATTAATTATTTTGTTAATAAAATAATCTATTCCAAAAGATAGGTTTAACTTACTTGAAGGAAAGTCTTTATTGGTCCCTTAGTTCCAAATATAATTTTCAATGAATTACACTAATAGTATAAACAATTTGTACACTAATTGTATAATTTACAAATATGGCAATTACATGGTACTATTACTACAAAAATGACATTAGTTTTACACTATAATAATATCTTCTTCTTTTTTAATTATGTTTATTATTGTCATTGTTTCACCCGCCTGGTTTTATTTATATTATTGTGTAAAATTAATATAAAAATTTTAAGATTCATAAATGGGTGACCGCTAAGATCAATTTTTTAAATTATTTTAATAATATTATGCACATTAAGCATCAAAATATTCAACATACATAAGTACTGTACACGATTCATGACAAATACAACATAATTATAGAAACAGGACATTGGCTAAGATCGCATAGAAATTCTTGATAGGTCAGATCANCTTTTGTTTACACACTTTAAGTTTAGTTTACTATGAGCACGAATTTATAATTTTCGTACTATTTTGCAACACGTCCGCCTCGTATGCTTGCTTGCGCGCTCATACCAAAAATGGATTAAATCGGAAATAATTCCTACTAAAGATTTTAGTGCTTTAATGGCTTCATTAGTTGCCCATAAAGACTCTCCTAGGTTTTCGACTTCGACGGAGTTGTGCTTAAGTGGTGGGGGCTTTTTAGGTTTTCCGGTTATACCGCGTAAAGGACTTGCCCTATCGAAAAAACCAAATTCATATGTTTTAGACAAACCGTTCTCGTGAAAATGTTCGGCAAAGTAGAAAATATGTGTATAATTAACTCTCCACGTCCAATGGCTTGTTACCCACATGCTTCCAAGCCTTGTAAAGGGTCGCCTTAACCAGCGTATTCCTTTCAAGGCTCACGAGTTGGATTCGCTTATCCTTGTTCGTCCCAGCCGTTCCTTAACTGCGGTTGCTGCACCTTTTCCTGGCACTCTCCTGAACGACTCTGTGCTATGTAATGTGGCTGTCCCTCTTCCTTGTACCCTCCTGTACGATTGCATTGCTTAGCCATATGCCTGGTCCAAGGTTCGACGCTACAACCTTAGACCAGGCATACGGCTAGGCAACCTAGTCGTGCAAGAGGATACAAGGAAGAGGGGCAGCCACAGTAGGTAACACAGAGTCGTTCAGGTGAGTGCCAGGAAGAGGTGCAGCAACCGCAGTTAAGCTAAGGCTTGGAAGCATGTGGGTAACAAGCCATTGGACGTGGAGAGTTAATTATACACATATTTTCTACTTTGCCGAACATTTGCACGAGAACGGTTTGTCTAAAACATATGAATTTGGTCTTATTTAATGCAGGATTAAATGCCCTTCAACCGTCAGGAAGACCACTTTTCGATAGGGCAAGTCCTTTACGCGGTATAACCGGAAAACCTAAAAAGCCCCCACCACTTAAGCACAACTCCGTCGAAGTCGAAAACCTAGGAGAGTCTTTATGGGCAACTAATGAAGCCATTAAAGCACTAAAATCTTTAGTAGGAATTATTTCCGATTTAATCCATTTTTGTGTTTAATTCTACTGGCCTATAGGGAATGCTTAGAATTTCTAAGATATTTTTGAGGAAGCTGTATTAATAGTAGTAGGTACTGTACCTAGATATCAAATTATTGAAGTCGTCAAAGAGTTGCATTTAGGTAATTTTTTTTTTTTTCTAATGTTGGGAAAGAGTTTTCGAAAAGTTAGGTTTTGGTAGAGTTAGGTTTTGGGGATATTAGGTTTTCGAAAAAGTTAGGTTAAACCTAGAATGTAATTCATCAAAGATAAAATGAGACTACGTCATGTGCCATACTCATTCACAAAATATGTTGCCAAGGTGTCAACTGGAAAGACAATTCCTGGGAAACAGCTATAAAGGGGACTGCTCGGAATAATCGTAAATTGAATTAATTTAAAACAGGTTTTAACGCTATATGCGGATAAGGAGGTAATTATGCAACGCGAAAGTTTAAAAATAATTAATCGTAAATTTTTGTTAGTTAGGTTTTGAAAGTTGGGTTTTCAAAAGTTAGGTTTTCGGTAAGTTAGGTTTTGGGAAAGTTAGGTTTTCGAAAATTACGTTTTGGTAAAGTTAGGTTTTCGTTGGGCTATGTCAGCGACTTTAGTTCGTATACGAATCTCCTCATATTTTCTGATTCGAAAAAATCACCTAGCATAGCCCTCTCCGAGTCTCCATAGCACGATGTGCATTTTTAGGGTTCCGTCCGTAGTCCTGACAAGGAACCCTTATAGTTTCGATATTATTATGTCTGTCGTCCGAGTTTTCTCTTGGAAATTATTGGCACTAGAGCTGTAATTTTGTGAATATTATGTTTATATAATCACGCCGAAAAAACGGTAAAATAAAATTACCGGTAACCTAACCTTTGAAAACCTAACTTTTGCTAAAATTAACGTTATTCTCAGCAGTCGCCTTTATAGCTGTTTCCCAGGAATTGTCTTTCCAGTTGACACCTTGGCAACATATTTTGTGAATGAGTATGGCACATGACGTAGTCGTCTCATTTTATCTTTGATGAATTACATTCTAGGTTCAGCCTAACTTTTTCGAAAACCTAATATCCCCAAAACCTAACTCTACCAAAACCTAACTTTTCGAAAACTCCCAACATTCGCAAAAAATAATAATTACCTAAATGCAACTCTTTGATGACTTCAATAATTTGATATCTAGGTACAGTGCCTACTACTATTAATACAGCTTCCTCAAAAATATCTTAGAAATTCTAAGCATTCCCTCTAGAAGCAGCAGCCAGCAACCACAACTTTGTAACTATGAGTTGCTTTTTGTGTGTAAGCTGGAAAAACATAATATAGTTAACTATTTTAATTAAAACCTAACTTTCCGGAAATTCAACTTTTGACTACGTAATTGGTATAACTATTAAGTAAGTGAGTAGGTAACCTAATAGGAAATGCATGGCCGCAGCCCGCATGCCACTGATTTTTGGATTTACGATTGCCACAGAATTTATGTAGTGCCAAAAAGCCGTTGGGGATAGTAGTATCCAATTTAAGCCCGGATTCCACCAAAGCGAAGACGAGCGGAGCGGGGATGGATGTGTTTAACCAACCAATAGAATTTTGTTATTCACACGTCACACGCCTCGTCTCCACTATGCTATAATGAGCAGTGTTTGTAAGTATTATTGCACGACAGGAAGCAGCGCGATTGGTTTGGCTCTTAGATTATCTGTTCGGACATCTCCGCACATTTCCACTTTGGTGTGGAGTGCGGGCCTACGTTCTGTAGCTCGTAAAAGTTCAAGCATTAGGGGGCTTATTAAAAAAAGTTAAACAGGCGTTGAACATTTGTTTAAATTTACATACAGTACGGAAATGTCATTTTAAACACGTGTTTAAGAGCGTTTACGCGAAGCGCGGCATTTCAAGGGGCATCATTGGAAATTTATGATTCGCGCGCGGCGTTTTTTAATAGTTTTCAAATGTTTATAGCAAAACAATATTATATTAAGCTATTTATATGTTGAATTAAAGAAGAATAATGGTGTAAAAATCACTTTGATTTTTGAGTATTTCACGTTCTTTGAATATGTGATTTCTTATTATAAAATGCTTAAATCTAAGAATTTTCTCAACTAACTATTTGCCTAAGGACCTATGCTATAGGATATAAATGTTTGTTATATCTTTTTCACAGTATTTTTATAAAAATTTCAGCTTGTAAACTGACGCTAAAGTGGAAATTTGAAAATCTTGATAGAATTCTTAAATACTATACACTAATCGAAATATTTTCTCAACTAACTATTTAGACGACGAAATTGCCTAATTATTTATGCCTATAACATTATTTGTAATGTAACTGGTTAATGATTGTAACGAGTTGAAAAAGTACTGTTTTTGCGCCAAACGGCGTAAACGCTCTTAATTTATGTTCAAGATTTTTGTAATAACAACATTTAACATTTTGTAATAATTTATACTACTACCTACCTACTACTATATCTACTTACCTACATTCTCTGTGAAATCTTATCAGCGATTACCGAAAACAATGCTACTTCTTCTACCTAAACTCCGTTTGAGAGAACTGCGTGGCCCCCCAAACTAGTGTATGATACTGTATTAAGATGTTGCGCATCATATCCTAATTTAGGCCGGATTTTTATTGTCTGATGTGTTGTGTTGTGTCATGAGGGAATCGGTTTCATACAAGTATGCGAAATGTCAGAAGCCATCATGACATAAGACTAGTGCCATACCACTGTCTAGTGATCACAATTGGATGAGAAAGCCTTATGGCATTAAGTTCGCCTAATGTTAAAATTTTGGCATTAAAGTATAAAATAAATACCAAAAGGTATGGAAACCGATTCAGTTCTGATGCGTTGACACAACACGTCAGACAAATAAATTCGGCCTAAAGGCCTAAGCTGTATTCATTAGGCAACATTTGTTAATAAACACTGTTTATAAACAGTGATGAAACATAGTTTATGAAACATGATGCCGTGCCTTCCAGTTTGAGTGGCGAAAAAATCTAGGCTATAAACACGATGATCAACTTCATAAATTAACAAACTTATTAACAAAATTTTTGTCTAATGCTCGTAATGATGTTCGACTCTGCAACGCGAACGCCAGGCAAACGCTTCAAGTGAGTGAGCACCTTTGCGCGCGCGCGGCGAATCACGAGATGATCTTAGTATTTCAGCGCACGGGACGCGCTCCATGGAAATGGTGGAATATAGGTATACCCGGTTTTTTCTATGATACTGGTCGAAGAGTTGATGTTTTAGAAGTAGACACCTTTCAAGGCGTTTTAAATTTCATAGAAACAGGACTAAGATGGCACAACTTAGTGTGAGATGGGGACCATAGTATCTCCTCTTATGTAGTGGGAGTAACCGGACCGGACCGTACCTGCATCGAAATGATTGCAATCTCCTTTTCCATAGGAACCAATCTACCAGTTACACCATAGGTAACCAAGTTACCAATACTACTTAACAGAGATACAGAAACTTCGGTAAGCACAATCCGGTGCGCACCAACCTTTATGGTGCAAGTACATACACTACCTATGCGGGAAATGAGGGTTTTCGCGATTGAAAAATCCGCCAGATGGCAATACGTAGACGCGAGGTCCAAATGCCGCATGATTGGTCATTTTTGACATGACATTGACAGATAATGTCAAAATCCACCAATCACGCAGCAGACCCTACATCCACGTCCCGCCATCTGGCGGATTTTTAAATCGCGAAAACCCTCATTGGCCGAGACGAAGCGCGAGCCCGCTCACCGAAGTATGGGCGACGCACGGCGAAACTAATCGAAGTGAAGTGCGTGTTTACACTATACGTCTCGATGAATTTCCCGCAGTGTACATACTTGCGCCATTTGACTAAATTCACGACGCATTTACCTACTACCGATAACACACCCAGTATAAAATGGCAAACTATTTTGAACAGATTAGGCACTTTCACAGATACCTAGACCGAACAAAGTAATCTACCATTGTACACTTATTACCTTTCTTGTAACTTGGTGTACCCTGAAATATACAAACCCGTTTCATTCATACGTTTGGTCATAACCTTTCTGCAAATCTGTCTGTAGAACCATACCATGTACTGAAAACCATAATACCAAGATACCTTTTCAGCACTGCCGTAGCTTTCCAACACGGAAAATACCTGCAGTACCTTTATTACAATGAAATCATGAAACAATTCACCAAATTACCAATACCTTTTGAATTACCATACCGCATCATTTACCTTTACCTTACCATAAAAAACCTTACCTCAAGTACCATACCACCATTACCTTAACCTTGATACCTTTATTACCATTACCTTTACCTTTTATTACCTTCATACCTTTATTACCTTTACACGATTTTACCTGGGTTGGAGCTATACAGCTCTTACAACGGTTACTAAATCAATATCTAATTCTACAACTACAAAAGCTAACTTACAAATTTCATTCTACATCTAATAACTTACATGATCAGGCTAAATTAAAATTAAATAAACAATCATCTTAGAATCTGATCATGTAAATTACACGAGAGAACCATTTTATCAACAATTTGATAAAATAGTCCTTGATAAAAGATAAGTAAACCTACCTTGTGCATCACCTACAGCGCCTCCTTCGCCGCTCCCCGTTAAATTGCCATCACCAGTTGCAGAACCATCAAAGCCTGAAAATAAAAAAAATAATTAGTTTCACCCATGCCTCAGTGAAAGTGGATGATTTTGCGACTGCGGGNTAGGCTATAAACACGATGATCAACTTCATAAATTAACAAACTTATTAACAAAATTTTTGTCTAATGCTCGTAATGATGTTCGACTCTGCAACGCGAACGCCAGGCAAACGCTTCAAGTGAGTGAGCACCTTTGCGCGCGCGCGGCGAATCACGAGATGATCTTAGGGTTTCAGCGCACGGGACGCGCTCCATGGAAATGGTGGAATATAGGTATACCCGGTTTTTTCTATGATACTGGTCGAAGAGTTGATGTTTTAGAAGTAGACACCTTTCAAGGCGTTTTAAATTTCATAGAAACAGGACTAAGATGGCACAACTTAGTGTGAGATGGGGACCATTGTCTCTCCTCTTATGTAGTAGTGGGAGGAGTAACCGGACCGGACCGTGCCTGCATCGAAATGATTGCAGTCTCCTTTCCCATATGAACCAATCTACCAGTTACACCATAGGTAACCAAGTTATACCAATACTACTAAACAGAGATACAGAAACTTCGGTCAGCACAATCCGGTGCGCACCAACCTTTATGGTGCAAGTACATACACTACCTATGCGGGAAATGAGGGTTTTCGCGATTGAAAAATCCGCCAGATGGCAATACGTAGAAGCGAGATCCAAATGCTGCATGATTGGTTATTTTTGACATGACATTGACGGATATGTCAAAATCCACCAATCACGCAGCAGTCAGACCCTACATCCACGTCCCGCCATCTGGCGGATTTTTAAATCGCGAAAACCCTCATTGGCCGAGACGAAGCGCGAGCCCGCTCACCGAAGTATGGGCGACGCACGGCGAAACTAATCGAAGTGAAATGCGTGTGTACACTATACGTCTCGATCAATTTCCCGCAGTGTACATACTTGCGCCATTTGACTAAATTCACGACGCATTTACCTACTACTACCGATAACACACCCAGTATAAAATGGCAAACTATTTTGAACAGATTAGGCACTTTCACAGGTACCTAGACTGAACAAAGTAATCTACCATTGTACACTTATTAACTTTCCTGTAACTTGGTGTACCCTGAAATATACAAACCCGTTTCAGTCATACGTTTGGTCATAACCTTTCTGCAAATTCGTCTGTAGAACCATACCATGTACTGAAAACCATAATACCAAGATACCTTTTCAGCACTGCCGTAGCTTTCCAACACGGAAACTACCTGCAGTACCTTTATTACAATGAAATCATGAAACAATTTACCAAATTACCAATACCTTTTGAATTACCATACCGCATCATTTACCTTTACCTTACCATAAAAAAACCTTACCTCTTAAACCTTACCTCAAGTACCATACCACCATTACCTTAACCTTGATACCTTTATTACCTTTACCTTTATTACCTTTTATTACCTTATTACCTTTACACGATTTTACCTGGGTTGGAGCTATACAGCTCTTACAACGGTTACTAAATCAATATCTAATTCTACAACTACAAAAGCTAACTTACAAATTTCATTCTACATCTAATAACTTACATGATCAGGCTAAATTAAAATTAAATAAACAATCATCTCAGAATCTGATCATGTAAATTACACGAGAACCATTTTATCAACAATTTGATAAAATAGTCCTTGATAAAAGATAAGTAAACCTACCTTGTGCATCACCTACAGCGCCTCCTTCGCCGCTCCCCGTTAAATTGCCATCACCAGTTGCAGAACCATCAAAGCCTGAAAATAAAAAAATAATTAGTTTCACCCATGCCTCGGTGAAAGTGGATGATTTTGCGACTGCGGCATGAGATACGTACCAGTCATTTCCATATTAGAGTCATCTTCGCCGAAAGTAGTGTCATCGTTATTTGCACCCTCTTCGTCGTCATCCCACATGCTTTCATTGACAAATTCGGGTTCCATTTTTGGTGCCACTGCGTTGTTTTCATCTTCGTCCGGTATCGTTACAAATTCTTCTTTAGCTGATCCAGAGGGTCCGGCTTCTAATGGGTCTACACATTTCCGTTTCGCAGGTCCACTTTGTGAAGATGACGAATTATTTGATGCTATTGATGGCCTATTTGGTCGCTTAATTGCTACTGGAGTTGATGAGGGCTTAGAATCTAAATCAGTCTCTAACTTAGTCATAACAGATTGCCTTTGTTGTGACGACCTCGGGCCTGGCCTCGACGTCGGCTTTGGTTTGGATGGCGTGGAACTATTCTCTTCATTTTGATTTCCGGTTAAACCTTTCACTTGAAGTTGTTCCGCGGTACTAATAAACGACGCTAATTCTTCTTGCTTAACATTAACTTCACCTTGATACATAAATTGTAATAAGTCTCTTAATGCAGAATGACTAACATCTTTTAAAAATACTGAAACAAATAAAATGCACATTAGTCATATCATAGGAATATCAACACAGTAAACAAATATCACACTGTTGAAAATACATACCTATGGGATGTTGAGTTGGGTTCATTTTGAACATTTCTTGAAAATAGGGAGAACATACTGATAAAACGAGCTTGTGTGCTTGTAATAACCTGCCTTCGGCAGCCAACGTTACATCTACTAGATCTCCACGCGACAGCAGGCCATGAAAGCCTGCTGACATGTTTGCGTGGAAATTGTTCCAACATAATGAAAATTGTTCGTCCGACGCCATGATGGCGGCGCCTCTACGAGGAACCTGAAAAATAAAAGCACAGATTAGTATCAGAAAACACTCATAGATAC